TAGGCCTATGTATAACGTGTACTGATGCATATTTACATGTTTAGAAGTGTTTATTTTAAGTGATCCCAGGAAAGAATTTGTATTGGCTCAAGAATAAGCTTTAAAATTTTAACACTGTGTACAAAGGGTGGGGGGAGCCGCGGCTCCCACAGCTCCCCCTGGATACGTCCCTGTCAAGAACAATACGACAGCCATCAGTTTCAAACTAATGACTATTTTAAATGATACACCTATACATTTGCTAATAAATACACTAATCAAAACACTAAATACTGTACTAGCACTGACTATGCTATCAGTTCAAGAAAGAAAACATGTTTGTGGTACATAAAATTATAAAAAAAAAATGTGTGTTGGAGCTTAGTTTGAGCAACTTGGAAGCATCATTGATGACTTTACGATAGACACTACGGGCACGTACGCGGGCCGGTAGGGGGGGGGTGTCGGGGTTTACGATAAACACTCCAGGCCCGTATGCGGGGAGGGAGAGGGAGTTTCCAATGCCTCGAATTTGTCGTGCAAGCAAGGACTTTCAACTGTATTTATAACCTTTTTGAGGAATTTAAGTGTTTTCCCGCCGGTTGCGCGCACCTAGGGACGTAACCAGGATTTCGAAAAAAGGGGGGGGGGAAGCCGTTATGCGAGGTACGTAGGACCCGGGGGTCCAGGGGCGAAGCCCCTTGGAAATTAGCGCGCTCTGAAGGTTTTTAGGACTGTTTTGAAATGATAAAGTGAAAATTGCAACAGGTGCATTATAAATAATATTAGTAAGCCGGACAATCATTATATAAACTCAACTCAGGAATTCAATTGAGAAGTGACCCAGGGAGGGACTTTTACAAATGGAGGAACCGTCCCAACTCAGCCCCAACCTGGTTGGGGCTGAGGTAAGAAAGTTATGATTAGGGCAATTCTAGATGGCCGGAAATTACACTCTCAGACCATGGAGGAAATATATTAAGACCAGATTATTTCCTCCATGCTCAGACTTACATTTAGATAGGGGGCCTATATTTTTCTTTTCTTTTTTTTCATTAAAAACATTTAGGGGAAAGGGACTAGGATCAACCACTCTTATCCAAAATAGTTATAATCACAAAAAATGGGCATGTAAAACCAGATCACATCTTAAAAACAAATTTATGCATTCTCGCCTCATCAGCAGTCACTAAGACATACCCTACTCTGAGTCAGGTGTCGACTCAATGGAGTTTAATGTCATACCCAGGAAAGGCGCAATCTGTTTTGAAAGGTGGGGGAGGGGTGATATTTCGTGAGTCGACACCCACCTCAGACGAAACTGAGGTGCAAAGATTTGAGGGAATAGTACCTCTAGATGACCAGAAAATTACATTTTATTAAAATTCATCATCATCACATCACCATTATATATACTCAAAATGAAGCGCCAACAAATTTCTCATGATCTTTTATTAGGGATTTTCGGCAACCATAAAGATTGTCTTTGAGTATGTACATCACATACTTCAAAGATGTGATTTCACAACCTAACTATGGTGGGGCTGAGGTGAGAAAATTTGAGGAAATCGTACCTAGGTGGCCGGAAATGGTACTTTTATATAGTAAAATTCGTCATCATCACATCATCATTATATAATAAAAATGAAGCGCCAACAAATTTCTCGTGATCTTTCATCAGGGATCTACTTAATATCCAGGACAACTTAGGCCTAACAAAGTTTACTTCATTTTTTAATATTATTGATATTATTATCTAATATCACCATCGTCATCATCATCATCATCGTCGTCATCATAATTATTATTATTATTACTACTTGTAGTACTGTAGTAATACAACAAAACTTTGTAGAGCTTGCAAAAGGACAAAAATCAAACTCAGCCATACAATAGCACATTTCTGTATCTGAAAAGACCTGGGCTGGGAGTTATGGATTTAAGATTTTTTTACATCACGCTTAGGCCTATGTGTTATTATAGTAGGCCTATGTGTTATTATAGTAGGCCTATGTATAACGTGTGCTGATGCATACACAGTTTAGAAGTAACGGTATTCATTTTGAGTGGTCCCTGGAAAGAATTTTTATTGGTTAGCAAGAACAACCTTTAAAATGTTAACACTGTGTACAAAAGTGGGGGTGGGGAGCCGCGGCTTTCACGGCTCCCCCCCACCCTCCGTATACGTCCCTGCGCTCACCACGTACGAAACTCACCTTCTTTCTTAGGATGTGCACTGAGTTGAAGAACAAATAGAATGAATGTCACACCAAAAATCATCTTCTCTCTTTCTATAGGTTTTACTAGAATTATCTTGATTCTTGTTTAAGTCTGTGAGCAGGCCCATACGCAGGGAGGTGCGACGGCTTTGTACGCAATCCCTCCCCCACCCCACCCCTAATCACAAAAGGTCCGAATTTTCCGGGGTAGAAAATTTAAGACACTCTCACACGTTCCAGAAATCCATCCACAAAAAACCTTGCCCGATCAGAGCAGTTTCCAACTAGGACTGCCTCTAATTTGTTGTATATAAGAAAGGACTTTTAACTTTATTTGTAAGTTTTTTTTAAGGAATTTGAGTGTTTTCCCCACCGCTTGTGTGTCAATAACGCGCCATGTACAAAACTCATCTTCTCTCTTTCTAGGCTTCGCCAAAAATTTATATTTATTCTCGTTTAAGTTTGTGAGTGCCATTTTCGGCCATCTGGAGGTGCCATAATAACAAATTTTCATATCATGGTGGGGCTGAGGTGTTATAGACCCCAAGTGGTGGATTTAAGGGGGGACCGATCCGACCCAGCCCCCAACAAATTTTTAAAAGTTATAAAGATAATGGAGAAAAAACAAAACACACAGTAATTTATAATCATATTTAAGTCTGAGAGACCCATTTCCGGCCATGTATAGGTAGCATAATCATAATTTTTTTTCCCCTCAACCTCAACCATGGTTGGACCGCGGACGGCTAAGGTGGGTGGACCTGGACCTCTTTTTCAGTGAAAGTCCCTCATTAGACACCCATCTCTATTTCGAATTCCTGAATCTGCCACTGCCCCATTATTATGTCAAAGTCCCTCCCTGGCCCGGTAGAGCGGTATTCGCTTCAAAACAACAACAAATTGATTTTTTGCTTGCCCTACCTTGTTCGCAATCATAGATCTGTAATGCTTATTTTATGAATTCTCGATTTTATATATTTTTAAAGTCTACCTATCTCATTCACGAAGTAAAACACTCGTAATTATTTGTTCATATTCGCAATTTCCAACTTTTTAATCTTAGAGTGGCATTTCCATCTTCCTGGGGGTGTCATAATTTAAAATTTCCTACCCCAGCCCCAACCATGGTGGGGCTGAGGTAATATCGACCTTCCATCTCTGAAGGGCCCTTCCTGACCCCTCATATTAAAACCTCACAATATCTAGAACATCTGAGCGCGAGGGGGATCTGCCCACTCGACCTCAAAAGGCTATGTCCTTAGCCCCCATCCCCGACCCATTTTTGTCCACTTTCCACAAATTCGCACTCACCCTATAAAAATCCTGCTTTCGAGCCTGCACTCCGGTAAGCTTATCATTTTGTATCACAAATGATTAATTCCTAATGTCAAGCGAAAGATATTTTTATTCGAAAGATTTTTTTTACTCAATACAATTTTTACAACCTATACCGGTAGCACATTAACCACAGCGTACTCTAAATTCTGTAGTTAACCTTCGGAGAACTTTATTTAAAAAAAAATTAAATGTCCTAATTAATTATATTTTTAATTGTTTTCGTTAAATTAGATGGAGTTTAAATGTGGTTGTATTCCGCTAGTCTCCGTGGTTAGCATAAAGAGAACTAGAGCGTCGCTCCATTAAGAGTGCCTACCTCCCCCAATATGCCTAAATACAGAATTTACGAAGGCAGGCGATTTTTTGTTCATGATTGAGGGTGGGTTTCAAGGAAACTTTACAGACGCGCGTATACAGACGTCAATCAACATTTGGTTGCTCAACTCAAAAAGGGAACTTGTACGGTAATGCTCGTTAGAAAATAATAATAATAATAATAATAATAATAATAATAATAATAATAATAAAAATAATAATAATAATAATAATAATAATAATAATAATAATAATAATAATAGAAAAGCCTGGAGTGCAAGTTGTTGTTCTGCACACAACCCTTATGCACTGCATTCCCTCATTTTTATATTTTTATAAAATAAGGTCTATCATACTGATGTTGAAAACAAAGGCTACATTTAAAAGACTTGTAGGCTTATAATTATAAGTAAATGTGTGGGGCTGTGAAAAATATTGGATGTATAAATTTATGCCAGCCAGCTACTGGTCCTAACAAATTTAAAACTGGCCACCATTTTAAAAAGGTTGAATAACCGGAATGTATGTCATTGATTTTTAATTTGTTTTCAACTGATGTTAAATAGTGTATTCATTTACAAACATAATTTTAGGTCTATTCGATCGACTTCTTTGCGAACTGCAATCGTTGCGAATTATAAAAATAAATCTATTTACAGAGATCGTTCTTGAAGTTCAGTAGATCGAATTCAAAATTTTTTTATTTAATTAGTTGTGGGATAAAATAATATATCTCATGATGAGATAAAAAATTAATGCCACGGGTTTACGAAATAATAATAATAATAATAATAATAATAATAATAGCAATAATAATAATAATAATAATTTAATAATAATAATAATAATAATAAATAATAATAATAATAATAATAATAATAATAATAATAATATTAAATAGTATATCATTACCATCATCATCATTGTTATTATCTATTACAGATCCTATACCGCTTTTATTTCTAAAATTGCGAATCTACAACTAGTTTTAATAACGGCAATTTGCAATACATTTTGGGGTACTTACTGCGAGGTAGTGCCTACAACTTCAAGAAGGGATGGTGATGTTATATTGACATAATATCAATACAAGAGGTTTATATATATTTACCACCTAAAAGCCACACCCCAGGCATGCGCACCTTTCACAAAATACATTATATTATAATGTCACGTGATAAGCAGAGCAACAAAAAATGCAGAAATTGGAATTTCCAATCTGCATAGAAAGCTATTGGTCGATCTGGAAATTGGCAGTTTCAAAAGCTAATATAGTCTGTTGTCTATAGTTGGTGATAAATTTTCATGTTACATAGTATGATTATTTAAAGAATCTATTATACTTTAACGCGCATTAGTAGCTCCCTATTTTCTAAAACAAATGTCCCAATTATTCTAATGTTAAACCCAAATAAATAAGCCTATTACATAATTAAAAAAATAATTCATAATTCATCATAAAAAAAGGCCTCTCCATACACCCCTCCGCTATCACATACAACAATATCGCATTAACTTATGGAACATATATTTATTGTATACATATTATGCTGTCCTAACTACATGGGGACACCTATTATGTCCCCTTAATAGAGGTTCTACAGTACTTCCGTAGTTCATATAAGCCTACTAATAGGCCTACTATCCATGTTCCAATAGTAATAATAGAACTTAGATTAGCTACAATACATTATACAAATATTCTACTGTTCATTATTTTTTTACACTATTTTGTTATCTTTACCCACACCGTATTTCATATTTCTTATGCTGAATCGATAAGGATTAACTGTTTTGTGCCAGGTATTGTTTTGGAGGAGTCGTACGGTAGTTTATCTTTGAGGGCGGAACACCCGATTTACCCCCACCCACCCCGAGACTTCCCATTACTCTTAGTTTGCATCGTGGTTGCATCAGATTATTCAATCGTTCAATGGTACCTCAACGTATTCGTGGGTTCAACAATGTATAAAGGCGAATTGTCACTAAATAGATGCCCACCGTATGATGAGTGGCCTTCTAATTTAAAAGTCCCACATAAATCCACACTTCAAGTAATTCGCACTTTTCACCAAACGTGTCACAGTTCACCGAATTAACGGGTGCCACAATTCGCCGAATTAACGGGTGCCACAATTCGCCGAATTAACGGGTGCCACAATGAGTCAATCTAACAAAACGATTCCAACATCAAAAGATGAATACGGCTATTGAAATAGATTTTCCAGTCTGTAGCCAACGTACAGTGCAGGGGCAATAACTTCAGATTTATTGTTTCTCAGCTATTGATATTGGAAATTTGGAAATTCCCAATTCCAAATATTTTCAATTCAATTCGTTAAACTGTTTTTATTCCATAATGAGGACACTTCTTTGGCCATTTAACAGTAATATCACAGTGTTTAAGCTGTCAAGCAAGTAGCCAAATCCTAATAAAAGCTCAATTTATTTTCGTTCAAAATTGGCCAAAAAGCTAACGGAATTGAATCTATCGTTGCTTAGGCCTATATTCATTTGTTTGGCTAATCAAATTTCTATTTGGCTAATTATTTTCATACTGAATTAGCCAAATTGTTTCTTTTTCTTTTTGTTAACTAAAACCCTGATATCAGAACAATAATATATGTATACAAGGCCTATGCCTACAAAAAATACGGTACAGTATTCCTAATTTAAAATCATGTATGTTCTAAATAACTTAGACCAAAATCAATTCTCATCGACTAGCAATTAATAAAAATCCTATTAATTGAAATTCATTTTTTGACGAACTGTTCCATTCCAAAATTGTTCCATAATAAAGTTTCTATAATCATATTGGCTACTATCCAATACATGTTAGTAACGAATTACTCTCGAAGGAAATATCTAAATTTAAATTTGTATTAGAAAAATTTTCGTACCGTCGAATACAGCGTAGACCTTTTCGCTTGGTGGTAGTACAGAACAGTACTCTCTAGACTAGCCTCGGCCTAGCAGTCCACGCGCGGCCGGTCCCCACCTAACTATCTCGCTAGGTATCGGTTCACATGCAGAGCACCTACCACATCATTAAGCAGGCGCACGCGCAGCAGCCGCGGTTGAGCAGCATGAGGCTAGCTGCGTGACGAGTTGCGTATAGCGGTGAAAGTAGGATCAAAGAATCTATTCTTTGGTAGGATGTTCCGAAGTCCCTTGACCTATGCTGCCCCACAAGACGGCAGCATGAACGTAAGTAAACACGGCGCGGTTGTGGGACAACACTTGTTTGTGTGGGACAGGCGCGTGTAATTTTATATTCTGTACTCGTTATTGTAAGTTAGCCCTTGGTGATTAGTTGCAAATTGAGTTGTTCTTTCTAAGGTGTAAAGTATTTCTGGCTCATTTTTGATTGGTCACTCCAGAATTAATGTCCATTGCCCCCAAGTCGAACCGAGGACTTGGAGGAGAGCGTAAAAACATAAAAATATCCTTCGAACCGCGTGGGGGTAATCTCCCAGGTTTAAGAAAGTTATAACAACGTTACAGTTCAATGGTGTATTTTTAATAGAACGATATAAATACGTATTAGAACATACTTCACAACTAACATGTTCAAACGTTTCTACAACGTCTTTTCTACGTTACCTTTGATACACCTAACCACAACGTTTGTGAACGATATAATAACGTTTCTAGTAAAGGTTGCCATGTACTCAACAAGGCCCAATCCGGGCACAGCCGCTTGAAAAACATTATCCAGAAGCCTCAGGCCCCCTCGTTACGCCACTATTGAAAGGTTAAATTGCATATCTCTCGAGTCAAGCCTGAATAAGTAGGTGTGATGGTATTTTACTCTTCATAACCTCCCCACTAGCGCCATAATATCTGCCTTAATTGGGAAACGTATCACTGCTTCTGACCAGTCTAGGTTATAAATTTTCCAACGTCGTGTTAACCCCCAATTTAGAATGTGTGAAAATGAGGAAAACAATGGATAAAAACAAACTGAAATAACTATAAACTGATTATTTGTGTCAAGCCAGCATCGACCTAAACACGCGAGCAAAAATACGAAAAAAAAAGGATATGGTTGTGACTGGTTGTTATAAGGAAATAAAATGGTAGATCTGCTGGCAGAATACTCTACGAAGGCATAGCATCATAAAAAGAAAATGGTCAGCTGCAGTACTTTCACGATAGTATCGCATTCAAAATAGATTACAAAACAATCAAGAGGATGCGTTCGCGGTGTATTTTGAGGCTGAGGTAAAATGAGGTTTTTTAAATAGAAATCCAACAAATCGTATTTGTACCTTTAGGTGTAATAGGATGTTAATACTCTGCCAAAGGTTTTATAATGTAACCACAAAAACGTCTAGAATCCCATGACAGGTTGAAGAAATTAATATCGTACGGGCTTTAGGCACCATAAAAAAATTATTAGTTCATCACCCCCTCCCTCATCACTTTTGGGAAATTCTGATTTTTAAATTTTTTTTTTTTTAATCAACATATATTTTTATTTCAACCGGGTCGTTTTTCCATCTGTTTTCGCTTGAAAAGCTCAGGATTTCTTGCAAAATGTTTACTGGTACAACAAAAACATATTTGTTAAATATAAATTTGATTCCATTTTTATTACTTTTCATATGTGTCCCTAACCATTGATTTAGTTGTACAGTATAAACATCGGTAAAATTGGGGTGGGGTTAGCAAAAAAAAAAAACCTCCCTCCCTCATCAGTATTTATTCTTTGATATGGTGATAAACTAACACATTTTTTTATGGGGCCTTACGTCGTCTGTGTTTATTCAAAATAGATCGCCTTGGTTTACCCATAAACTTACGGGGTTATCTATGATATAGGATACAAAATGTGTATAATATATGAATTTTGTATTTTTTTAATTTCATTTGATTGATGATTTTAAATATATATATA